TACAATATATTTATGTGTATTATATACATGTATATTATATGTATGTATATATATATATATATTAACAGGGGGCGTACCTGTGCCGAACGCCGTAGTTCCATTCGCCACGCATAGCCTTGTTGGTGATATACGCAATCCCCAACACGGCCAAGCAGTACACATACACCAACAGGTTAGACCAGCCGTACAGTGCGTTGTTCAGCTTCTCAAACTTCTCTGTAGCGGGACTTAGCGTGTCGACACTGGAGACGGTCTTGATGTGCTTGAATACGGATAAGGTCACTGTGCGATACGTGGATTGGGGAAGGGGGGGAGGGGAGGGATGGTGTTGGGCTCAGTGCTTTTTCCCTGTGTGTCGTTATCAGTTGGATACGGTCTAACCACATCTCTGATGAGGTACTGTAGGTAAGCCAATTGAAGAAACTTCACCCATGTGGAAAGTGAAAGGTCCATTGCTCATTTAAGTAGATATTGTGTATTTAATAGAGCAACAGACAATTGGACAAACTCCACCACGTGGGAGGTCCAATGCTCAATAAGTGTATGTCGTGCATCCGAAAGTTGATTCCACACCCCGCCAAAGTAACCAAAACAAGACAATTGAAGATCAAGTAAGGCGAGAGCATGGAAACGACGATGTGTACAGCTATGCACCGTATTGCGTAGTGGGTAGGGATGAAGAGTACTGTTTTATACTTGGGAGTATACTATATTTAGACAACCCTTCGGGTATGAACCCTAAAAACCATATTAAGTACGGGTCCGATATTTCTACTTCACTGAAACCAAATGTTAAACTCAGACCAACTCATTTCGTATTTCCCGATAGCCAAAGACTTGGGCGGTGACACCTCAAGGCTTCTTGCATGCGTATCGTGTAAATTACTTGTCTGTCTGTCTGTCTGTGAATGGTGTCATGCGTTGTATACACAGGTCAACGGGGCCGTGTTTAGGTACTTTGGGATGTCAAGGGATTCAGTGTATACACGGTGACAATTAGCAAATCGAGAACAATCAGATGACACCGAGCTATGCAAGTGTTGCGGATTGCTCAGTTGCATATAAACTCAGTAGGGTGGCCGGATTGCTTATCCCCAACTATTCTGAACCCTAAAACTTTGGAAATACAAACTCTAAACCCTAAAACACAGGCATAAAAAGATGTACAGCAGACGCAGTTTGGTAAACATACGGGACACCAGCAGCCAGACGGCCAGGAATATCGTTTTATCGATATAGAACCGCCAACTCTTTGCCGGTCTATAAGCCTGCGATCGAAAACTGGCCAAAAAGCACTACGGGGAGGACAATGTCGTTACAATAATGTCAGTATATATTAGGATTATGGATGTGGTACACAGACAAAAAGCACCATGGGGATCAAAATATCGGCCCATATA